TTCTATGATTCTATGATTTAAAAACCCCAGACTTCAAACAAAACCCCTACACAACTCCTGCTATGGAACAACCCAAAACAAGAGGAATAGTATCCACTTACACCGAGCGGAGGAAGTCCTTCCACAATATTCTTCTTCCCAGACAAAAGATCGGACACAGGCCTCTTCTTCACTGAATCTTTCCTTACTCTGTAACTCCCTGATGTTGTAAGATCAGATTCTGACATCGATGGAGTAAGCAGTCCTTCTCTTCTCTGTACCTGGCTTTCTGCTAGTAAATGAGAAGGGCACATATCTTTCATTCTCTTTTCTGTCTCTGTAATATGTAATTTAGGCTCGAGAATATGCAAAGGGCCAGCAGATGAAGCCACGGAGCTATAAGGGTAGTTCAGTACTGAATCATGAGGATAACCCCCCATAATGGATGAAAGTTGGGTTTGATCTTCAGGGAGAGGAGAAAGACCTGTAGTAGCCTTGTTTTCTTCTTCAAATTCTTCCTCTTCCTCACTACTGTGAATCAGCATAGTAGCATCTGAAAGGGTTTTCTTATGATCACAGTTCACACCTTCTTGCTCACTTTCTTTTTGTTTTGTTCTCTCCATGAGAATGTTGGGCTGTGATCCTTCTGAGATGACTCTGGGAAGAGCCACATCTGCTGCAGAAGCCGACATGGTCCTTTCTTTAATTCTCATTCCTTCAAAGCTGGGAGTCAAGCCTGCTATCTCAATGCTGTTCCTCTTCTGCAGCTGAGCATGGCGTGCCGACGTTAGAGGTTCGCTGACTTCCTGAAGAGAGTGTGCCACAGGCAGGCTGTCTTCCTGAAATGTCTGGACAGAATGGTGCACGCGCCTTGTGATAAGGTCTGGATTGCTGCTGCTAATGTAGATGTGTCTTGACAGGTCTGGAGTACTATTTGCAGGTCTTGGGTATGGGTATGGGGGAGGTGGTCGATAGACTTGGGTCTTCATTATATTTGGTGCCGGGTAGTCCTGAGCCTGGAGCTGCACGTTCGTCAGCTCGGGCACACTGACTGCCCCGACGACCGGGCGCTTCTCCGCGGGATAGGGGTAGGGGGCTTGGCTGTGAAAGCTGTAGTTCAGGCTGAAGGGGTAATGGCTGGCCTGTGGGGAAGCGAAGTGAGCGTGCTCACGTATTTCAGGCTGGCTGTAAACCAAAGCATCGGGCCTGCTGTAAGCGTACGAATTGCTGATGTTAAGGTTTCTCATTGAATGACTCTGCCTGTCTGTGTGCACCATCCCCCTGTTGAGCTGTCTCATCACAGTTTCATAGTCTGGCGTGGGACGATACGAAGGCGGGATCAGTGCGCTGTGTCTGTGTGATGGGACATAATCAGGCCTGAGGACATCGCTCCCAGTAATGCTTGGGTTAGAGGACATGGGGGACGGCTGCAGGTAATGCTGAGGATTGTTCAAGGAGTTTGTGCTATGTGCACTGTAGACACTACCGTTGCGGATCCGACCACTGTAGTCGTGAGGGGCTCTATCCAAGCTAGTCTGAGAATGACAGTAGAATCCATTCTGATTGCTCACAAACAGGTTATCTGAAAGCAAAGTTTAAGAACAATCTTTATGTCCAAGACATCAAACAAAGAAAACCTGTATTAAGATGTAGCTAACCAATGTCTAGGATTTTGAAAATCCCAGTTGCTCTTAGCTATGTAGTGAAATGGGAAGGAGGAAAAAACCCCACATCCCAGCTTTTTTCTTGTTGATACCTAAGGTACGTATACCAGAATAACCTATTATGTTCTTTCAGATGATGCAAATTCCTATTGGAAACCATTGTCTCAGTTTAAGAATGGCTTCACTCTGTTTAGGATAGGCTTGCTAAATTTCAGCCCAAATTAAACAAAATCCATATCAATCTTAAACCACACTTGCTGAAAGAACGAACATCTACACCAGGATTTGCACTAATCTAATGAGATCGGTTTAAACAGCAAGAAAACAAAAAAGCAAACAAGAGAAGCACCAAAACCTAGAAACACCCCCACATCAAACAAAAAAAACCCTACTTCTCTCCTCCAGGCCATAAGTAGATATAGTACCACAAGGCCTTAAAAAAAACCCTCAAGTTAACTTTTCTCCAGAAATTTTGGAGACAAATTTAAACCACCACCATATGGGTTTACCCATTTACATACGCACAATCTGATGAGTAAAGAAAATGATCTAACAGTTTATATATCCAATACACATTTAATAATTTGAATATTACTTCACTGCATGTACAGTTTGCCAAGATACAGAGGAGGACAATTCAGTCATTGCTTTAGATGCCTTTCATGATTTAACTTCAGGTTCATCAAAATAATACCTATACTTGCATTAATTTTTATTACAATCAAAACTTTTTTTTTGTGGAAAATTTTTTCAAGAATAGGACATATGCAGTAGCGAGCATCCAGCAATAATTCAACACTCTTTTGGAAAGAATTCAGCTGCATTCTGAATTTATATACCTATAGCTTCATGAATAACTCTATTCAGATAGAAAATGTGCTTACTCCCTTACCAGTGAACTGTTAAGAGTATTTTTTTATCCAGACAACTTCTAGGACTGGAAGGTCCCTATCAAAACTGAGGCAAATTTGCAAAAGATTAGATTAAGCCCCTCAGGGCAGGAACTTTGCTAATTAAAAACACAATGTGTAACAATTTAAAAAAAAAAAAAAAAAAGGGGCGGGGGGGGAGAAAAAGCAGCCATGACTCCACTGTAACCCGCTTAGATTAGGAGTTTAATTAAGATTCCTTGAGAATGCTAATTAGAGTTTACTTGGGGTTTTTTCCTCCCTTTTTTCAAACAAATGGAACAGGCTGCCCAGAGAGGTTGTGGATGTCCCCTCCCTGGAAGAGTTCAAGGCCAGGTTCATAGAATCATAGAATGTCTGGGCTGGAAGAGACCTCTAAAAATCATCCAGTCCAACCCCCCCACCATAAGCAGGGACATCTCCAACTAGATCAAGCTACTCAGAGTTTCATCCAGACTGACCTTGAATGTCCCCAGGGATGGGGCCTCCACCACCTGTCTGGGCAACCTATTCTAGTGGTCTATCATCCTCATATTGAATAACTTTTTCCTTATGTCTAACCTAAACCTACCCTTTTGTAGCTTAAACCCATTACCCCTCATCCTGTCACTACAAACCCTTGGACTACCAAACCAGGTTGGATGGGGCTTTGAGCAACCTGATCTAGTGGAAGGTGTCCCTGCCCATGGTAGGGGGGTTGAAACTAGATTATCTCTAAGGTCCCTTCCAACCCAAGCCATTCTATGATTCTACTTCTTATTAGCCTAAATGCCTAGAGTAACAGCAAGCACTTCAATGAGTGTTGCAGTATAAATCTGACTAATGTTCACCCTATGAATTTATTCCGCTCCAGCTAAAGTAGCTACAAATGCTAATTATAGATTTTGGCTTCAGAAGTTGTGTGGTGTGGCCCTGGATTCAATGAACTTACCTTGGGAGGATGCATACGGTTCAGTATAATGACCATTGTAATGCAGCTGAGGTGGTGGAGGCATCATGTAAGGCTGAGGCTTGGGCTAAGAAAGCAAACATCTTATTGTTAGTTAAAAGCTCATGATTTATTTTAAAAATAAGTCTTGATGAATTTTATATATACATATAACATATAAGATACACACATACATATACAAAGTCTTAGTCTTAAATAATTTCTCTAAATCTGCGATGTAAGTTTCTCCTGTGAGGTCATGCAAGAAATAATTAAAAAGAAACAAAACAACACACCACCAACCCAACACTGTATCTTGCCATCTGACATCTAGGAAAGCCTCCTAGATGAGACTCCTAGAGTCAGAGCAATTAAACTAAAAATAGAAGTGTTCAAAATACTTTCATTTGGATTATTTTAATTCCATTATTCAGATGTTACACAAGTCAGAAGCAGTTCCTGACATACTAGGCTCATCTTTTTCACCACTCATTTCATTCCACTGAAGTAAACTGATGTCCAATTCAAAATCAACTGAAATCCATAAAAATGCAAACATAAAGCTGTTCGCTCATCTTACCATAGACATCCTGGACGAAGACCGCCTCCTAACAGGATTCACTGTAACAGGCTGGGTTTGTCTACAGAAGAAATTTTACAGTGAGAGATGATTCCTAACTCCGCCAACGTCTATTTCAGATCTTGGAAAGTGTTCCCAAGTTCCATTAAAATTACTTTACATTCCTTGGAGCCAGGTCCTGTGTTAAATAGTCCACCCCCACAGTCTCAAAAGGAAACAGCTCCGTGCCTAAGCCACTGTCACAGACAGTATGAGCAGAATCACAAAACCAGGACCAAAATACCCCAGTTATTTCTTTGCCTCTTTTCTATGAAGTATAAAAAGGAGATATCCCTGAAGCACTGCAGCAGGGCAGAAAAAGCAGCAGAGGAACTGGAGGCTAGTTCCATACTTGAATCCTACATAAAATCTGATACTCTTAACTTACCTGTTCTATGTGACCAGACATAAAATTGTTTAACAGAATGTAATGTTACAGATGTTACAGGAACTGGAAAGCATGACAATAGTGCATGAGCATTTGCATGTTCTAGCATTCAAGCTAACAGTAATAAATGTTCATAATTTGCTGGGTTGCCTCCAATATGTAAGGTTCAGAAAACTTAAGGTCCTTTTTCCCCACCATACACTGCCCATGTACTCCACATCTTTCAGCAAGACAGAGATCAAAGGACATCAGAATAATACAAATGCAGGAACTGCCAGGTTTCAGAAAGAGAGATGACTTTTCAGCTCACCCTTTGGGAAGTGAAGGACGAGAAAGGATTGGAAAGCGTGGAAGGGAAAGAATGAGGGAAGATTTCTGAGATCCCTCATCAGTTGGAGAATCCAGGGAATCTCTAAAGACAAGGTACGTACAGATTAAAAAAAAAAAAAAAAAGGATTCAGTGTAAGGCATGCAGAAGATATTTTTCAGCAGAAGGACCAGATGATATGGAATCTTAAAGCACAGATAATCAGAAAAGTTTCTTTGAGGGCATTATCTATTAATGTTATCTATCACATGTTTGGTGAAAGGGTTAAAATAAGTAATCCAAGAGACTGACACTCATTACAGAATTACAGAACTGACATTATTCAGATAGCAAAGCACCAGTCCCACAAATGCAGTACTTCTACCAACATTTCTTATTCATCTCAAAAGGCTGCCAGGTTTACAAGCTTAGAGGTATGAGGTCTACTGTATTCCAAATTAATCTTGCTCTTCTAAAATAAATTAACATCAAACACAGTAGTGACTCGTGTGGTACAAAATATTCCATTATCTTTCCACTGGCCTCAGCAAATTTTGGGCCAACCTCTCCACAGCTATCTTCTTCTGTACAAAGATGAGGAAAGGAACATTTGGGAATCAGGCTTTTTTCTCATAGACTATTTACTGGGTCTAACTCCTGTTCTTGACTGAAGCAATTTAACCAAAAGAAAGCTGTTCCAGTGGAGTAGCTCAAATTCGAGCCCTTGATTTACAAGCTGGAGACCAGCCTGTTTAAATTTAATTTGATGAATTGTATTAAATTTACTTTGCATTGGTGCTACTTGAGCTACACAGATTCCATGGATATCCAAAGAACCACATACCTCTCAGCTGTCAATCCAGCACATTTCAGGAGTGCTTCACATACACTTCCTACCCTTCTAAAAGCCTCTAGAGTGTCCTTTTAGAGCAGTACACCCAAACTCAGGCCAAAATCTCAGTGATTCCAGCAGGTCACAAACACTCTAGCAATAGCAGACCTCAAAGCAACTAAAGTGTGCCAGAACTGAGAGCCAGCAGCAGGGGCCAAACACCACGACTATTGGTAAGACTTCACTGTTTAATATTGTCTTCTGCTATAAACCAGAATATGTGTGAAAAACTGATGATAAGTATTTTCTCAAAAAAGATTAAGAACAAAAAAACCCAAGTCATTAATTCATCTAAAAAGAACAGTAATGACACTGCAGAGGTTATAAAAGATTTCACTTCCCAATGGAAGCTTCAAGGGCACCAAGGCTTCGGCTATTGTATTCTACTTACAGGCTGCATTTATTTAGTCTGTAAAATTTGTGTCTAGCCACACACATCCTCCACACATATTTTGCTGTTTCCATATCTTCCTGCCAAAAACAAAACCAAAATTTGCATGTTAGGCCAAATATGCACACCCTTCAGTTGCTTTCAGACAAGCCACTGACATTTTTAAGATTAAATTAGCATTGACCAATTTAATTTTAATATAACTTCATTACTGTCACCATTTTTTTCCTAAAACTTTACTCTGTGGGCCCGAACATGCACTCTAGCCTAACAATTTAATTAGATTTATGAAAGTTGAAGCCTTGTTGAAGACACTCTTATCATTTGTGACAATAGCACAATTTACAGTGTGTGTGTATATCTATCTATCTATATCTCATGCCATAAGATTATCAACAGCTGCATGCTTGACAAAAGACAACTGGTAGGTGCTACATAAAATTGATTCTGCAAAGAATGCCATGGCCCATTCCAGCAAGCTCTAAGACCATATTTATCTTTAAATGTCACTGATTTAGAAGTCAAAATAAAAAAGCCAGAAATTTTATTGGAATGGATAAAAAGGCTTATGGCCACCTAGAAAAAACTTGTGTACATACTCAAAATAAAGGGTCAGGTTTTTAACATCTTCCTGTAGAGAGCTAGCCAGAGGTGGCATTGTTACTTTTAACTCACATATGAGGCAAAGTTGTTAAATATATAAAAAGCAGTTTTTATGCCATGAGTTAAATGCAGTCTTAATTTGTGCTTCCATTTACTGACATCTCAGTGGAAAAAAAAAATATATGTAAAAATCTACTCACAGTTTGGAATTGGATTGTCTCTTCTTTGTTTGCCAGCTCTAATGCAAAAAAGGATTTGTTGTGGGACATGTTGGCAATATCATGCCACCTGCAGATAAGAGGGAGAGAAAATGACTGACAAGCTCTGATTTTCAAGCCATGGAAAATTCAACTGAAGAACAGAACAACCACCAAGCAAATGGATAAAGAACCAAGGAAAAACAAAAAATTTAATCAATCTATCTGAATAAGTTGCAGACCATCACTTCCATCACTTCCATATCTATTAAATGACTGCTGAAAGGAAAAAAATGTGACTAACTTTTGAAGATGCCTAACATGTACAGTAATCACTGTATTACTTGTCTTCTACTCAAAATTGTGTCAAGTGTTTTTTTTTAAATCAAACTTAGATGAATTTAGTTATCAGCAAATTATAATGACCCCACTACTTGAAAGAAAACCATACATTCTAGAAAAAAAAACCTACCCTAAACAAAGGCATTATTATACATATTTCCTAGAACTCTATTGCATACTAATATAACAAAGAGTTTGATTGCATGAAATATAATACCATCTATTTATTGAACTTCTTGTTAAATATAAATGTAGTTTGATCCACTAGTATTACACTAGGGTAAATAAGGCCTGTATCATTGATTTAGTAAAAGAATATTTTGCAGTGCTCAAATACAGGGGAAAAAGCACGATCAATATACAGGACTCTAAAGGCATTTATACGTCTTCTATTTTCCTTATATAGATGGTTGATAGCATTTTCTATAGCCACTCACCATCATACGTTTGAGGCAGAGAAATATTCGTTTCCCCATTTTGACACGGAACAAATTTAAGGCCATGCTTCATAGGCATTTATGGATGTAATTATGAAATTACTGAAATCAAACTCAAGCATAACCCAGCCTTTGTAAATTGTAGTAGTGAATCATTTGTCTGTCCTTGCCACCCAGATATCATGATATAGCTATCCCCAGTAGAACTGCCCATAGTCACACAACACATAAGCAACAGAGCAGAAAACTGCATACTGAAATTGGAGTATGAATACTTCCTGATGATCTCCAATGTGCAACCTTTTTCTTATGTTTATACAGACACTGCACACATAAATCTTTGGGATGTTATGTGAAATGCATGGACGAAGTTTTATTGCTCTCTGTGTACGTGGAAACTCAGACAGCAGAGCTGTCTTTCTTGTTGCTTCACTGCAAACAAGAAAGAGTAGGGAACTTCTGCCACTCTACACAATTAAAAGGAACTTGACATCAGCTCTGCTATCAGCGGCAAAGATAGAGATTTTTATGAAGGAGAGTTAACAGTACTGAATTTATAAAGTCTATTAAACAAAACCACTCACAAAAAGAAACACAGTTGCTACTTTCTCTAACCCCAGAAATTCACCACGAGTTCCAGTAACTTTTGGATGACAGGATATCAAGATTCTGATCATGTTCAGCCAAATATTCAATTCTAAAATATTACAGTTAGCCAAGAATAAATATTCTCTAGCGATAACTACAGATTACTAAGATTTGCTAAAAAATAATATTGATACATATTTTAAAAAATTTATCCCAAATTCTGTTCAAAGATGCCCAAGCAATCCCTCTTGAAATCTGTGGGAATGAGGCCATTTCACATGAAGACTGAATTTTAACTGCTAGGTATGTTGCAAACACATCTGTCTAAAATTTGATTATCAGAACATTCAATAATAAACTAAAAAAAGTATGAATCCAAATTAATAAAACAAATGCTATCATTCGACTCTCCTTTCTTTTACATATAATATATGAAAGGAATGCCTGGATAAGTTTACAATTGAATATTTGTCAGTAAACTGATGTGTCCATCCCAGTATTTAAGATGTTCCGTGTGCAGAGAATTGCTCCTTTTTGACTCAATAAATGTTTTGCAATGGAACATATATTAAGTATTAAATTTTCATCTCTTAGAATTCATCTGGCTTAAAGAGATTCATCCTTCAATAAATGCATTGAAAAATTCCCATGGACTTCAGTATTTACTGTGGCATGAGAATTACATTACCATGTCTGTGTTTATCAAATGAACAAAAATACATTGTAACCAAGAGTCATTGATGCTAGTGAGGAACACACATAAAATAGGAAGTGAGCAAAGATATTTTAGGAAAGAGTAATACTAACCTAAATACAACAGGAGGACGGCCATTTTTGTGTTTCACAAAGATACCATCAAGACATGCACCAATGAATATATCACTTCCTTGGCTGTCCTATAAGAAGTTGCAAAAAATTATGCAAATACATAAAAAAAAAAAGTCTTTGAAAGCAAAGTTACATGAGAATCAACTATTTTCGCAATTTTGGGGGGAGGAAAAGGGGTAGTGTCGGTATTGGGTTTTATTTGTTTATTTATTTTTGCACGAATCAATCCTTTTTCCATAGGGGGGGGAAAAAGAGCAACTAAAGACAAAGACAAAGATCCATGGCCCCTTTACCTTTGCAGGATAGGTCTCTTCACCGTAGCCCTCCATCCTCTCTACTTCCTGCATATACAGCATTTCAGCGTCAGGAGGAGTAAGGCCTCTGCAAATGAAAGCGGTGGTCAGCCAGTACTGCCAATAAGAACAATCACACAATCACAGAATGTTAGGGGTTGGAAGGGACCTCTGGAGATCATGGAGTCCAACCCCCCTGCCAGAGCAGGACCATCTACTCTAGGGCACGTCACACAGGAGTGCATCCAGATGGGTCTTAAAAGTCTC